AGGGGTTGACTAGTTTAGGTTGTGGGGCTAAAAGTGGCATAAGTGAAGTGTAGGGTCGATTCATAGACTCCATCCTGACCTAAAGGAGTATAAAAAGGGGAGAGCGGAGAAAACACAACAGCAAAAGTTAGAGGTGAACTTTGACTAGGTAAAACTAAAAAGCAAGGACTTGGAGACATGCATGAAAGGCGCAGTAGTTGGTGATCATGAAGATGGGCAATGTCAGGAAGGTGACAACCTGATTCTGGGCAGCGAGGGCACAGACAAAATTTGTTTACCCAACAATTCTCAAATAGCTAGACTGCCTATAACAATCGAGGCACAATTCTCTGTTGCAAAAGTTTTTGAATGGGAGCCCTCCGTAGTGGGAGGCGGGGTGGAGGCTCTGAGTACTGGACTCCACCCAGATTCTGCAAGGGGAGATGGGATGGCTCGAGGTCACCTTTCAGTCCATGACTGCACCCACATGAAGCAGATGCCACGGCTGGGCTTAGGAGTGCAGGTGGAGGGCCTCCTGAGGAATGAGGACGCTAGTAAGCTGATACGTGAGATTATGAGAATCAGGCGTGCACAGTCACACAAGAATGAATGAGCTTCACACACACACACACTCATGTTTGTGTGAGACACTTGCATCCAACATGCACAGAAGTCCAGCAATGCAGGTAAAGAGGGAGCATTCTTTACATTTGTTTTACTGGAAAATATATAAAGAAATGCTTCATAAACATTATAGCAAAAGATCATAATAATATACAGAAAAAGCCAGAAGAAAATGAGAAGAAACTTTGGAAGGCCAGAGTAAAGGAAACGTATCAAGAAATGGGAGCCAGAGTTTGCCAACAGCCTGCTGACAAGCCAATTGGGCACCTCTTGGCATTGCCCAAATTTCCACATCTGGTTATTTATTTCATGGAGCTACTCATGCCTGAACGCGGTTCAAGTACTTTTGAAAAGAGCAAAGGAAGGACCCTTGGTTTGATAACTTTCTGTTCATCTTTTAGGTTCTTTGAACATCCTATGAGGATCCAAGATAAACCATTTGTTTCTCAATTATGAATGACATCTAGTTAGCATGGAGAATGCTTAGGTTAGTGGACTAGAAGGCCTTACAGAGCTGAATTCTTATGCTCATCAGGACACTCATATGTTTCTTTAAAAATTGCACATCAAAATAAAAGCATTAGTCTGCAAGATTTGGTTACAAGAGTCACCCAGGTTAATGTGTTTCCAAAGAACAGGCCCTGACCTTAACTTGACCCTGTCTTGACTGCTGCAGGGGTGTAGACCTTAGCTGTGCTGGCCTCATTTGGCACCTGAGACTGAGGTAACAGAAGAAACACATAGGGATCAAGACTCAAACACATCATCACTGCTGCATGGCAGGGTTCACATTCTCTGAAACTCGGTGCAATGAAGACTACCCTGCTTAATCACACAGCATTTGGACTTTTATTTTTCTTGGCCTTTCATTTAAAATGTAATGGATAACACCATTAAAATTTAGTATGGTAAAGACTTTTCTTTAGATGTCTGAATTGTGTAATCCTGCTCCTCTACTACATGCATAGAGTTTTTGGCACCAGACAGGGCTGCTCCATCCAAACTGACTAAGTAGAAGAAGGGAGAGAGAATTATTCCTTAAAGTTTCAGCTTCTGATAATGGAGTTAAACAAACTGTCAGTGTTTTGAGAATTTAGGTCATTAGAACCGATTCTCAGATATTTATTTCTACGAGACTCTGACATTGGGTTACTAACACCTCTTCCACCCTCCCAAGGGCCAGTTAATCAACTACATATGAAAATAAAGGAATAAAATTCAGGGAAAATATCCATTTAATTCTCACTGGTGAATATACTTGCATACGTGATTCAGACCAAGAGAACAAAAAAATCAAAATGATTATTGGGTAAGAACCAAATGGTCAGGCCAGGTGTGCTGGTGGTTCCTCAGTGCCAGCCTGTGCTCCTTCCAGCCTGCTGAGGGGTGAATGCACACCCTCGCCCACAGAACTTCAGAGGCAATTTGATATGGCGTCTTTCAACTGGACCAAAGAGTCTATTTTTCTAAATAGTCTTGCAATAATTACACTAATCTTTCAGCATCACTGAACGAGCTACTACTATGCAAGGCTCAGGGATCCAAAATTTTAAGAGGATTAACTTGAATTTGCTTTCCACATATACGATAATTTGAGAAAATTCATCAATATGCAGAGTAATGCCAAAAAGCATAAAAGAAAAGATAAAGGAATGAGTCTGAATAAATTAAATTAATAACGCACGAGGAAATAATCAACCATTAACAGCTTCTCTGGAACAAAATTAGAGTACTGGTACTAAAGGCTGTTGCTCCATCCAAACTGATTAAAGGTAGAAAGGAGCAAACTGTTATTTCTTCAAAATCTGAGCCACTGAAAAGGAGTTAAACTGTCTGGTTTGTTTTTTGTTTTTTGTTTTTAATCTTAGGTCATAAGAGCCCATTCACAAATACATTTTTGAGAAGTCAAAGAAAATACTGAAATAGAGCCAAGAAAGCTTCCTAATAAAGGAATAAAAGAGCAACAAGCTAAACCCACAGAACACCACAGGTTTTCTTATGTTAATTAACACAAGTGTGTTACCTTGCTGGGCTCTTCCAACTGAGTGCCACGTTTCCAGGCTTCGGAGAAGATGGAGCTCACGATGCTTTGGGAACGAGCGTGTCCTGCTGGCTGGGTGTCAGACACACCACTATCAGACTGATTAGAGTGATTTGACTGAGATTCTGTTTAAAACATTTTCAAAAAACAAGATTACATAAGTCAGTAGTATTCTGACAATATGAATATGTATATCCAGAACTAGTTACACGAGACCAAGTGCTACGTAGATCAGCAACAAGTTACTTTTACTCAACTCATTTCACGTAAGGCCCATGTTTTCCACTATAAAACTTCCCTTATCTCAGGGCTAATAGGAAATCTTGATTCTTTTTAAAAGAGTTCACCATGAAAAACTGATAACTACAATAAAAGGTTCATATAACTTTACTGGTGTCCTGACAGTCTGTCTTAGAAGAACTGCCAGCAAATAAGAGAATTAACGAACCATCAACAGAGGAAGGAATTTTTTTTCAATCATATCTTCATTACATTGAGAATCAATCTTTTAACACACCCCTGCTCCAGACCATCCCAGAGAGTTCTCACTTATGAATTCAGACTTGTACATGATGATTACATCTTTTTCCTCGGCACTGAACAGTACTTAGAATTTTACCCTCAAGTGGGAAGTGTTTCATAGGGATTAAGGTACTGGCACCGCAAGGCAGCAGCTGCACTGTAGCCTGGCTTCTGGAAAGGCATGGAAACAAGTCTTCAAGGGAGCTGGGAATGGCTGAGAATACAGTGTAATTTGATTGACATCCAGGGTGAGGGAACTGCGAAGACTGTTTCACTGGACTCCAAGTCAGGTAAGATAACCATGGGGAGGCACCTAGCCCAAAGCCTGGCATCTGGTGGAGACTCAAATGTTAAAGCAAGTCCCATCCAATCACTCTATGAGAGGTGGATATTAGTAGATTGCCCAAGATACTGTCCCCTCTAACAGTAAAAAAGAAGCACATATACCTATTTACTATAATTTAGAAATTAGTCATAGCTCTGGTTTTTAAGAATCATGCTGACATAACCAGATCTACTATCTGGTCTAATGAGACACACCATCATATAGTTAGTAAACAGTGCTTTAGGCATTTCAAAATACCTGGGATACTGGAAGAACTGGATCCGGATTTAATGCTGGAGCTGGATAAGGAAGTCCAATCATAAGCCGACTCTGTCCTCTTCAAGGCTTCTTGATAGTTCATGTAGAGCTGCTTCCCATACTAAATAGAAGGCAGTAAATGATGACATCTGAACTTTGGAGGGCATGATACAGATGGATGAGGTAGGTAAGGGGGATACATTTCTGTTTACTGATTTGTAGTTTGTATTAAAAATTATCTATAATACTTCAAAAATTCTTTAATACCAGTAAATTATAACTTACTCTTATTTTTCCTCATTTTTACAAAGGCAGCAAGAAGGTTAACACTCGATTCTGATTGTGTTCATTATAAAGGTGTTTTTCAGTTATTCCTAAAGCAACTTTGATTTTATAGCTATAATAAATTTTTTCACTTAATAGCTATATTCCTTCAAGTATTACATATAATCATCTTCAAGATGTTCTTTAGATTTTAAAGACTTGGGTGTTTTTTTTTTAGAGCAGTTTCATGTTCACAGTAAAATTGAGAGGAAGGAACAGAGATTTCCCATATACTCCCAGCCCCTAAACATACACAGCCTCCCCTATTATCAACATTCTCCACCAGAGTGGTACATCTGTTAGAATCTATGAACCTACATTAACATATCATATTCAAAGTCCATAGTTTACCTTAGGTTCTGTCTTGGTGTTATACACTCTATGGGTTTGAACAAATGTTTAATGACAAATTATCTATCATTATAGCATCACACAGAGTATAAATATTTTCACTGCCCTAAAAAATCCTGTGTTCCACTCATTCATTCCTTCCCCGATTCCAAAGCAATCTGACTTTCAAAAAATTTCTTTTGCTTAGGCAAACTGTGCCAGGTAAGAATCATGTAATTTGTGCTCCAAAGCCAAAATAAATCACTTTGATGCTACATAAGCTTTTACCAGCAGTATTATTCCATAGATAGCAACTGTTAAAAGTTATGCCCATCACCAAAGAAAAAAGACATTTAAAACATTAAAACATTAGGCTTGAGAAAACTAGACACTGACAAAATCATGAACATGAAACCACCAGAATAACTGTCACGACAATCATTAAACACTTCATTATTCTGTCATCAAACCAAAAGGAAACCTACCTTTGCGATCCGGATACCATTAACCCACTGGTGCAGGGTCCTCACATCATCACAACAAAGGTATTTGATGTACTGAGATTTCTTCTGAATCTGTGGGTGCTGCAAGATTAAAGACAAAGTCCAACTAAGTCCGCAGGAGAACTAAAGAAAGAAAAACTCTACTGACACTTAAACATGTCCTGGCAAGTTAGTTATAGGCCATCAGAGTAATGGCCAAATAATCTGTACCTGTTATATGGCCATTAAGTCAAATAAAATGGCCTGTAAGTTCTTTGACAAAATAAAAGAGAAACTTTTGTTAAATTTTAGGTCAAGATATCCAAGTTAAAAATACCTCCTTTTCGTGGGAATTGCCAAATACCCCGTCTACATTTCAAAGAAAAAAGTCCATGAAGGGTAACAGAATCAGAATTCTTAATCTATAAGACCATAAAACGGAAAGATAACATCTGATTGATTTAACTTTGAACCCAATGAACTTGTGAGCTCAGAAGACTCCAAATGAGAGCGTCTTTGGGAAAGCTTCCAGCGCTTCTCAGAACACTGGGCGAGTAGACGAAGCACAGGGCACAACACCTGGGAGGAGAGTGGGTGCTCGCGCCTGCTGTAGTGGTGTCCCTGTCGTGGACAGAGCACTGCTCTGCAGGCCCTTCTACCTGCAGCACATGCCTTCCAGGGCATGAGCAACTTTCCAACTGCTTCATCAGATTTAGTTTTCACAACCCAATGTAGTTTTCAGTTGAGGATCGCATAGGAGGTGACCAACTTGACCTTGACTACAAAATACAAATGCTGGCACAGACTTAAGGTATTCTAACTCCACTGGGCCATAACCACTAGTTCTCTGGAAACAAAAACCCTAAATCACACTTGGTTCTGGATATAATGATTATTAATTCCTATTTCTCTTTTTAGTTATTCTGAAAACTAAAAAAAAAAAAGGCTATATTTTACTTAAAGAAGTATTTAAATTTACATGCAATTTTAAGAGG